TTTCATTCCCCCATCCAAAAAGCAACCAGTTTGATACGACATACATAGCAGTAGTCAAGTAAAATTGACGAGGAAAACATTAATAAGTTATGCAGCCAAGAGCCAAATCTGACGTGTTTGTCATGCAGCACAACAGATTTTCCTTTACTGTAAGAAAAACATCAAATAATTAAAAACATAAAAGCAAACATATGGAGGAAAACACTCCGGTGAGATGAGATCAAAAGAGATTTTTTGGCTTAGATATAAAACTCCTGATTTTGCAATGAGCAACGTAGCACATCACCCAGAAGACACCATCCCACAATAACACACAGCAGAGGCAGCATCATGCTGTGAGGATTCTTTTTTTTTTAAGCGGGGGAAGGGAAAATGAAGGTTAACAGATGTACAAAGCCAGCATTGAAAGGGGATTTAATAAAGTTTTTACCTAGAGAAGATGCTTTTACAGATTTTCAGATTTTTATTTTTAAACGATTTTCTAAAAGGTATAATTTTCCTGCCTCTTCAATATTTTTACTACCTTCTGCTAAAACTCAGTCAGAATGACGTAACCAGCACTACAGCAGCTTTGCTTTAACATCTTTTTAAAGTCTTACTATAGAGCTAAGCTGTAAGCTGTTCTGTAAAACATCCATGGTAAAATTTAATTTAGAGTCTTATATTTTGTAAATATGTATATTCCGTTTCTAGGTGGGTATCCTGTTATGGCTTTCATAAATGTCTAACAAATCCAACTGAAGCCAGACAAAGATTAACGAAGCTTAATACAAAGAATGAAAGCAGGAGGGAACTTCCACTCTGTATCCATTTAAAGGTAACTGAATCTACCTACCAGCACGGAAACTCTTCCTCCCAGGGGGCCTTTGTACTGGGCCGGGCTGTGTTTGTTATAAAAACACAAATATGGCACAGCCACTTAGAAGGCTCCTTATTGTTGTGACTATAATGGAAGCAGCATTAAAAATTATTCTCTATAGTAATAAATATTTCGAACCTGCAGAGAAGGTTTTTGGAACTTGTTCAATGCTGGCAGCGTCACATCACTATAACGAGACTTTTATTAACTCAGATTTACAGTTTTGATAAAGCTGATGCAGTTTTCCACATCTTACCTTTGTAATATAAATTTCATTTAGGAAAGTTATTTTGTTAGGTAAATCTGACAGAACACGTCCAGCATTTTTAGGCTAAAGACGGATGCTTATATTTTATACAGCTCAACCCAACCAGAAAATGGAACAGAGGGTGACATAACAAAACCTGGAAGAAAAATAAGGACTGAATCACTCCTATGTACAGTCAATTCCAAAAGTATTTATTACCTTTCCATAAAAAACTGGAGCGAATATTACACAACCACAAACCAGGCAAGACATGCCCGACTGACTTAAGCTTGTAATTTATTTCAAAAGAAATCAGAAATTTGTTCTCACTCCTACACCTGCAACAGCAAAGTTACGTCATTTTTTTTGTTTTGCAACCCTGCCTTGGGAGATTTAAATGATTATTTTTGGCATATCATCTTGGCAGAACTTTCTTTTTGCAGGGTGTCGGACAACGATTGATTGATTGATTGATCAGGATATGAATGGGCATTGTTGAGTAGTAAAGGTGGAGGTGTAATTATCCTTTTGTTTCCTGGTGTTGAAAGTCCCCCTTTTCTAAGAAAAGAAAGCTTTACAAATAAGTAAGGTAACTGCAAGGTAAGAGACAGTTTTGAGGATCGACTGGCTAAGGCTGGAAGAAAATAAGCACAGTTGTATGACACCTCTACTAGATAATATAGATCATTTTACTCCTTCTACTCCTTCATCAGTCCAAAAAATGCCCCCTTTGCTATAATACTGTTGTCTTCTGCAGGGTAATGTAAGCTACACTTCCCAGTATTAACCAGAGTGCAAACAGCCAAGACTCTGACAAGATTTACAGGCTCAGTGGAATAATCTGTCAAGGAAAACTATTAGTTGTGTACTTCAAAAAACAAAAACAAAAAAAAAAATTCAGAAATCTCAAAAGTTTCAAGCACTGCACCTGCATCACTGCTGTGAAAAACTGTTCATATGGGATTGCAGGACATTGAATCCTGGATAAAGTTGGTGGTTGGGAAACTATTTTATGTGCAAAAGAAAAAGGGGCCACACCTAAAGAAAAGATTCCACAACTAATAAATTACTGTGAAAGGAATATTATTGAGCAACAGGAAAGAATTAAGCATAGACAGAAAACCAGGGAGAAGCATCACCGGCATTTAATCAACTAAAGTGTGCCAAGTGTTCAGCTAACAGCTTTTTGGCAATCACCTTTGGTGTGTGAGAAAAATATTTCCAAATTCTGTGTTCCTTGATAGTTTCATAGTTTCTATTTAGCATATTTTAATAAAATACTAGTAACATCACTGGTAAAAGAGCCAAAAGATCCGGATTACAATTCTTTGTTTACTAAGCTGTTAGTCATGTGTATACGCAGCACTGGTTTAACTCTTGAGCTTTTTTATGCCTGAGTGATTCATAAAGCAGATTTAAGTGGTGTAACATGTAAAAACAATATACTTCTGAAGGTTAAAATATGCTTGCTTTGCTGCCAGAACTTGTTTTTCTAAAAGAAGAAGATTTGGAAACTTTCTGACCTCAGTGACATGAGAAAACTAAGATCATTGTCCCCCCCATTAAATCTGCCCTCCCCTTTAGTCTTTTCTCTGCAGATGTTTAACTGGAACCACTAGAAACATTCAGTTCTCCATCTCTTACTGCTGAGACAGAGATTTTCCTGCTCACCTCTGTGAATTCATCTGGACTTTGATGGATTTCTGCTGAAGCAGCTGCTCTCAGCCAACAACCTGACAGGCGGTGAGAGCGGAAGAAGAGAGCTGGAGATAGATAGATGGCACTTCACATCTGCTGGACATTCAGTGGTGTCAAGGGGGGGGATCTCCTAAATCTTGCAACATATTTCAGACCTCAAGGACAACCCCTTAGCCCTCCTCCTTTCAGAGGAACAAACAGGGCAGGCTGGGTGGAGGTTTCAAAGAGCGTTTGTCACTCATAGAATTTTGTGGTCGTTGTTTTCAATGCTTAGAATGAAACGTCAACTTTTTCCGCCTCTCTTTATATTGCCAACTGGCACAGGATTGCATGGCTCTGAGCTTCTCCTCTGTTCTCTTTGAGTTATGGTTCTGTTTGTTATACAATTAGCCCGCCAGGATGGGCTTAATAAATAAAGCCAAGGGTGTAGATCAGCATGTCACCCCCCTCATTCACTCCGTTGGTGCCGGTCCATCTGCGAATCTGTGATTCTGCGAATGTGTGCGTCTCCGCTAACATGTTGTGTGTCTGTTGCATGCGTGACTGAGTAGTGGGAGTCAAATCCGGTCGTAAAATAATGCCTCTGCTCTGTCTGTGATTCCCGTGCACCTCACTTCGACACAACAGCATGCATATTTAAACATCTGCAGGATAAAAATCACATATAAGTAAACTGTGCTGAAAGTGTTAGGAATGGATGTCTTCAGCCAGATGGTTAAACATGTAACTACAGCTCAGACTTAAACCATGAGCTTCCAAAGATCTTAAGGAAAGCTGGTTAAGAACATGGAAGCATAAAGTCTGCTTCCCAACAGAAAGATTTTTTTGGATGAAAACGCTAACAAGTTCCAACTCATTTGATGAATTTGTTCTGCAGCTGATCTGCAAGTGACACATTAATACTTGACGAGGCACAGTCCAACTGTGGAACTATGTCATCACCTAGACTTTGCCAAGTAAACTAGTGCTAACTCTTTGAATCTAATGCTTTAATTAGTTTGATGCAGAGATGATGCAAAACAGATTTTGTGACTTCCAAACAAAAAAAAATATTCTAGTTGTTGGACAACTGTGCTTTACACATCACCCTCTATAATTAGATAAAATGCATTAGCAATATGGCTTTAACATTCCATCGTGATGTTTTGCTATGTTTTTTTCAGTGACATTAAAGCAAACATGAAATTAATCAAGGTTTATTACAATCTGTTATGCATCTATCCCTGTATTCAGTCAGAGCCTCATAAACACCACTGCTGCTCTGAAAATAACAGCTATATTCAGCAGCATGACTCTGCTGCTAAACAGTACACTGTAGTCATATTCAATCATATTATGTAATATTAATTCAACACTAAGTGATAATCTCATGGAACCAAAAGTATAAAAGCTTTAAATACTTTTTGAATTTTATCAATGCTTTTATTTTTTATAAAAGCATTTTTTTTTGTAATGATAGTGAACAATTTTACATCATTGCTCATTCCTTCATGGCACTCTTGTAAATTAGTGTACTATAGTCTTAAGATAGACTGTAATGATGAGATATCACTCTTTGCATTAGTTCTTTAGGGATTTTCTTTGATTCACTGACCATTGTCCTCATGGGCTGGTAGAAAAATAAACTTGCTCAGTCTTGTTTGTCAAAGTTACAATAATTTTTCTCAAATTTTTTTCCCCCTTTAAAATATGTAATCCTTGAGGATGAAAATATGCTTAGTTAGACATTTTAACTTAAACACCATGTTGTCTTGTCTCTTCATTTTAAAGACTGGGTAACATAAACTAATAGGGGTCCCAAACAATGGATAATTTTACCTAAAGTTACATTTTTTTCTTTACTGTTGGATCAATTTACTCAAATTAAGGTTTTCCTATTTACGCATATGTGATTGTGTTCTAGGAAGTGTTTTAAGCATTTTTACAGAACTTTACAAGAGGAAGAATTGAGCTGCACATTTATTTTTGACTGCATTTAAAATATTAAATAATTATGAATAATCAACTAAACCAAATTCTGGTGTTTTCCAACGCTTGACACTAACTTAACAGTCCTAATAGGTTCTAATACTGTACTTAGCATTCCAAAGGCTGACAAAAAATAAAGTCATTTCTGTAGCCCACAAAATTTTATCATAATGTCACAAAAATACAGTTATAATAAAGGAATTATTGCATCCAGTAGCAGGTACCTACCTTTACATGCACCACCCTCCTCTTCATATCCTGGTTTGCAGAGACATCCACCAATAGGAACCAACCACTCTCCATCTGCTCCACAGTACATTTTTGGCTCCTCTCTCTCTTCTGATTGGTTGACACATGACCCCCTGACCTCCACTAAAGAAGATGTGTCAGCACCAGTGACAGTGTCAGGAAAGGTCGCCAGGTTTCTGACAGTGAGTGGGCAGGTCTTGTAGAAAACCCTGACAGAAACCAAAGCAATGCAGGCGCCAACATCCTGAAAGGCCAGGTAGAAGCCTTTCCTCGTTGTGACCTTCACATCTCGAACTTCTGTGTTTAGCTTCATGATGCGGTCTCCAACATCAACCTGCGAGTGAAGAGGTAGAGTTACCTTGACTGAATGTGCAGTGAAACACCTAAGTCCTTATTATCCAGGTCACTTGTTCAACCTGAATGTGAGAGTTTCGGCTGAACCATTATTGGTGTTCTTTTCTTTATCCCTTGGCTCTTATCCAGGTGAACTTTTATGGATTTCAAGGGTAAAACAGGCTTTAATGCTTGCAACACTAGAATAAGTAGGCATTTTAGGATTGGCTAAGCAAAAACAGTTTTCATAGGACAGCAATACAGACATCCAAGACAGAAGTGCTTGTAAACAGCATCAGAAAATTACAGCTAAGTGCCAGAAGGTTTTATTTTCCACATGGCAGCAAATTAAAGTAAAAGGAGGTGGGCGGATAAAGAACTGAAAGGCTGACTCAGTTGTTTGTTTCTACCTGGGTGAAACTCTCGTCTGCTGCCACTGTGTCCACCTTAATGAAGCTGCTCTCTTTGATGTAGCTTTCTTTGTCATCATTTGACTCGTGGTAGTAGAGATTGAATGTCTCCTGCAAGACAAGAAAGTTATTTTTATTAAATAAACAGTGACAGATGTGTCAGTTTAACATTATTACCAGTATACTTCAGTCTACAAATATGTTCAAATAAAATCATCCCATGAAACAGCGCCCTCAGAGAGCATAGAAGTGTTGAACATTTTTTTTTTACCTGAATGTTCATTTGTTTTATTTTTTAAGCTGTTTCACATATACATAGAAAAAAATAAAATGATTCGATTTTCTATTTTTCATACAAAAAGAAAAAAGGGGTTTTCTATAAATTGTGGCATACATATATATTTATCCCACCTGACTGAATACTTTGTAGAATCACCATGATTCCACAACTCTATAGTTCAAAAAATTAAAACTTTCTTCTGCATTTATCTTTCTGAAGGCACAGATTCTCATTTACATTTGGGCTCTCACTTTGCCATTTAACACATTTTTATGTCTTAATTTAAACCATTCCATTGTATTTTAAAGTTGTTGCCCTGCTGGGAAGGGAACATCTAATCCAGTCCCAAGTCTTTTGTAGTATTTCAATCACCTTTGACCATCTTCCCTCTCTTGGCCAAAGAAAAGCTTCCCACAGCAAGACGCTGCCAGACCCATGTTTTGTGGTGGGATGGTGTTTTTAGGGTGATGTATGGCATTAGGTTTCCTTAATATATTGCATTTGGATACAGGCTGAAAAATTATACTTTAGGTTTCATCTAACCAGATGATTCCAAAATGCCTGTGGTTGTCTAGTTTTACTTAAAAAAATTCCTCTTGCTCCCACATCGTGCAGAATGTCATTGTACCTTGCAGGTGCCGGTGACTCCTGGCAGGCTGTTGCAGTCTCTCAAAGTAAACTTGACCTCGACGTAAACCCGCTGAGCACCGGAGCGAGGAATCCAGTCCGTCCGCAGCCAGTTGTTCTGACTGGGCTCCAGCACATTACACACCTGGTACGTCCTGATCGGGATGTTCTTTTCGTCCATAATACTTACTTCTTCCCACTTTAAAGAAAAGCACACACATATAAACTTTTACTTCTTATAATAGCTGAAAGTTCAACATTTTTTTTCTTTGGATGAGAGATAACTCTTTTAGTTGCTTTTCTGGGAAGAAGCAGAGTTTACCCAACTAAGAAATAATAAACTAGCAAACAAAATACACTTTTTTTACTCATTTAACATTAAAACTCTCAGTGATCACACTGTATTGAACAACTGAGAAGAATCCACTTGCAGGTAATGTTATTTTTTCATGACCCAAAACCTTGCAATTACAAAATACATGGTGGGTTTTTACATAATCTGCTCACATAAACTGAAAGTGGGGACTTTAGGACCTCTATGTCCCAATAAAAACTGTAAACCAGGTCCAAAACCATTTTCGATGCTGCTTACTATAATTCACAGCTGTGATTCAAAGCTTAGCCATCCAACATTCACTCCTGCATCAATATTCTGCAGTTGCCAGCGGTTCCAATCTGTTGAGTGTCCAAGGCTTTCTGCAGGCGCATTTCCATACAAGCGAGGCGGGCTCAACCTTCGCCTCACCATCCATCTCAATAGGGACGATTATTTGCCTTGTACTGTGACCCTCCAAATGACCGCTGAGCCTCCCTGCTCCAAATTGGCTTTTTATTGCCACTGAATAATAATCTGCTCTCTCCATACCAGTGAGAGCTGTATACACACTAAATTTAGCGTGTCTGAAGGAAGAAAAAGAGAGGGCGAGCTGGAGAGTGACAGAGTGTGTTTGTGTGAATTGGGGTAAGTATGTAAAGAGTTTTCCTAACCTGATCAATATGTCATCAGTGGCCTGTGCAGGGCTACAGCAGAAATGCTGATAAGTTACTAGTCATTACATTTTAGTACATTTTAGCAGTTTTGCAAAAAGAATCTGCAGCACTGTAAACATGGGACAGACTCTGACCTTCAGTGTACGATAAAAGTTCCTTCTTTCATCATTTTCATTTCCAGGGCAATCAAAGTACTCAAAACACCAGGTTAGCATCATATCTGACAGTAAAATTTTATGACGACACACTGACTGATACACATTATCAGAGCTTTTATTATCCTTGAAACACAAGCCCACTATCAGCTTCAGAAAAATCCCCATCTGGTCTTTGTTTTAACTGTATGCTGCTTCCTGCAATGTACTGTGAAAAAGCAGACATAGATGCCTTTTTGTGTACTCTCTTTTAGAGCAGACAGAGATCACAGCTGCCAGAGGGAAGAGAGCTTTGTCTTTGTCCCAACCACGAAAGAAATACTTTTTTTTTCAATATCTGTTTGTGTGTGAGTGTGTGCGTGTTGGGGTGTGTTTCTAAAGGATGAGGATGATGGGGGGGCGTCTCTAATCTAAAGCTCAGTACGTGAAGAGCAGGACCCTGTCAATCAAGCAGCATGCGATAGAATAAAAGCATGATGACCAGAAGAAACAGAAGTCAAGTTCACCAATAAATTTCATCTTGTGATATAAAATCCCAGTGACAACAAAAAGTACCAGAAAAAAATCTGAGAAGTTAAAATATACCACTGATATATCCAGGATTTATTCTGGCAGTTGCTTGGTAGTACAAAACCCTAAAAAATGACACCCACCACCAAGCTGGTTTGTGCCTTTGCCTGTGCCAAACAAAACGCCAGCAATCTCATATTAGCACTTAGGCTTGTTGAACAACAGCAAATTGCAAAATCTGTGGGCAGAATATTTACAGCTTTCCAGACCAAGTGTGCATGAGTGTGCGCTAGTGTGCATGTGCTTAAGATAGAGATTGTGTTTTGAGAAGAGGGACCAGGTTGTAAACAGTGTATCTGTAAAGAGAGAAAAAAAAAAATCTCCCACTCACCCCTCCCTCTGCAGGATTGGCTGCCCATTTCAGTTCTCCTGGCACTGTCCTGGTATCCAGCAGGGTCACTAGAATTTCACATATACATACACACATGCAGATAGTTTAAGAAAAAAGCAGCGTAAAGTGCTTCTCAACAACTTTATTAAAGTATAAAAATTCAGCTGCATAATAAAGAAAACCCTTTTCTGTCTGCAACATGTCCCAGCTGAGCGTGGGACAACAGCACAATGAGCAAAAGATATTATGATATTCCAGTGGTATGAGAAATTCTATGCTTTTAATATTTTCATGGCATTTACACAATAATTTTAAACAAAAACACATGATATAGTGAAAAGTATAATATAATATTTATAGTAAGGTGCTTTAGTTTCCGAACCATCCCTCCAAACACTAGACATCTATGTACACCCATCCATCTATCCATATTCTTCTGCTTATCCAGGGTCGGGTTGCGGGGGTAGCAGCTTCAGTAGGGAGGCCCAGATGTCCCTCTCCCCAGCCACTTGGGCACTAGTCTAAATCTGTACATTTTATTTTTATACATCTACTCACATTTCATTTTTTCACTGGCAATTTAAAAGTTTTTGTTCCCTTTAAATCAAACAAAGGCATTCATTATAGGCTCACATGATCCAAACCACCTTTTACCTACTTTTACCCTTTCAGGAGGCTGGAGAGCAGGATCCAGAAACAGGTGGGGAAGGGGGTTGCACTACACTATGCTATGCTACATTTTATTATTCTCTGTCATCTCATTAAAAGTGACTAGAAAAAGCATGATAGAGCAATGCTTACAGCAAGGGCAATACAGAAAGTTGTATAATGAATGGATAGATAGGGACCATTAATGATGTAGCATATTCTGTTGTTCTATGGTGCAATAGAAGTTCAAAGATAATTTCAAAAAACACAGACCAAACAAACAAACAAAACAGTAAAAGTCATCATCCTTATATTTTAATTGCAAAGAAATACACAACCAAGTTTTCAAGTAGGCTAACTTGTGTGCCAGAATTAGGCAAATTTGATCTACTTAAAATGCATTAGTATCTTAGCTATCAACAAAACTTCCCATTCAAAAAAATAAAAAATAAAAAAACTTTAAAAAATAACATTTTGCAATTCATTTGTGGTAAAGGGGACACATAAAAAAGGAAATAAAAGGGACCAATGCTTAATTACCGCAATATAAAAATATAGGAGTATGTAGCCTATTGCTGAACCTTCGCATCAGATTTATTTTACGTCAGTTAATTCAATTAGTAAGCTTTCATTTTGCCCCCATTTACTTTGGTATCAATGATCTTAATCCAGGAAAGATATTTGAAACCTTAATATTAAGGTTCAAAGGTTGGTTTTAAAATAATATCCACTGGGAGATTCAATTAACATTCTGTGCCACTTTAATTTATAACAAAGGTGTTTTGGTGTTTTCTTACAGAAAAACTATTAAAATGAACACAGATCATAAATAGATCAGTAGGGAATCACTTTTTTAGTCTGACTTTTTTCTCCTAATAGTTCATAATCCACGCACTTCCTCTCTCCAGCCCTCGGATGCGCCCGGAGCGCAGGCAGCGCCTCCCCTGCGTGCGCCACAACAGCAAAAAATACTCACCTTCATTTGAGGGATAAATCCTCATCCTCGCACATGAAACAAACGTTATTATCCAGACGGAAGATAAAAATGTTTGCCACAGATGTCCAGCCATGTGTGCCGTGTGGAAGCGTGTGAGCTCTCCGTGGGCTGCGCGCGCTGGCTGAAGCGGCTCCATCCCGCTGGGAAAACTCCGCGTAAATGAAACCAAGTGTGAAAGCGAGTTGGGATGGATGGATGCAGCAGCAGAGACGGTGGATTCAGGGGCGGTCTCCCACTCAGAAGCTTCCCTTGATGTTAAATGACATGAAGTTAATGGAAAACATCGCTGATTCCCATATTAGCGTCACTCATCTAATGTTATTGCCCAAAGTTCACAATTAAAAAGAAAATTGTTTATAAAATAAAAAAGGTTTAGAAGGAAACTGTGTAATTATGAGCCATTTCCAAAATTAATACAATATAAATAAATAGTGAATGAAATAGGAAGTTTTAAATGATATAAAAGCACAAATAAGCATCAAATTCTTCATCTATGATATATTCTGATCTAAAGTGAACAAAAACACCCAAATTAGTGGCGTTAATCTGTAATCTTAATGAGGTTGTTTGCAGGTTTAGGGTAAAAAAATGTCACAAAAGCCACGCTTTTGAAAAAAAGCAAAAACAATAGAACTCAATAAGTCTGCTGCGTTAATTAGAATAAGATTAATGTTTGAAAACTTGACTGGGCTATATGATTTTGGCTGGAAGTGTTTTAGGCTCTTTGTCCTGAGAAGCAGAAAACATAAAGCTGCAGAGTGTGACTACAGCGCCACCTGTTGATTGGTGTTTGGTACATCTAAGGAGACCCCCATTGAGCGTTTGGGGAATATTGAGGCATTTGGATGTTGTGGTGCTAATGACATGTAGATAAGGAACCAGCTGTCAGCTGCTAATATCTTATATCCCACATGGGCAAAATACATAAGATAAAACAAGCTAATAAAGCCTTTTATGAAAATTCTAAACTTACCATGTGATGAGGCTCAAAACAGCTGGTACATTCTTATGAGAATCTGTTTTGCTATATGCATGTTAAACCCACTTTCCCCATTAAAGGTATTTTTTCAATACAGATGAAAAAAAAAAAGAATGGAGTGCATCTTGTACAACACTGCACATTGTTTAAAAACATGGTAGGGGGACCTGGAAGGGACACATTTCATAATTGTTTCCCTTTATGTATGTAGAAATTTTGTTGGGAACTGAATATCTGAAGTGAGACGCACAATGATACTAGAACTCATATTCACAGGGAATCAAAATATGGGCGTAGCAGAAATATGACAAAACATTCATCCTGATGGGGTATTACTGTATATTTAAAATTATAAACACAGCAAAAAGGTAGCAGGTCAAGCAGAGGTTTGTATATAAAACTCTAACTGACAAGCAGTATAGAAAGCAAAAATATGTAAAGCATGGTGTTAAATAGTATCCAACATCTTAGGATACTGGTTGATACTGTTGAATTCAACAAAAAATGCTCAACTAAAACCACTTGCTGTGATTTTATTGAAACAATGAAGCCCAATCTTAATAAAGGTGTGATGATGAAAGCAGTTTTTTTAATACTTATTTAAGGTTTTAATATAGTAAACCTTCAATCTGTTTCAATAAAATGTCCATATTTACTCTTTAATGTATAAAATCTTATCTGTCTAAGCATTCCCAGTTTGTATGCATCAATGAGGTTGTGTCCCAAGCAAGGGCTGGCTCCATGGAAGTACCAGAAGGTTCTATTTGAGGTACATTATTATCTAAATTGTAAAGTAATGATCTTACATTCTTACGTGAAAAATACATAAAGATCCAAACAGTTGCAGTTGACACATTTTTCTGAACATATGAAAATGATGCTTGATTTTTTTGTTGCCCTGGCGAAAATACTTGGTTATATAATTAATGTTCTTCTTTAAATGTTGTGGAAAAAAAAATTGTGATTTATTTTACTAATAAAAAAATGCAAAGACTATCCAAATGTCAATATTAAGTGAGAAATCATGGATAATATTATGGAGTTTAAATATCTCAGTGTTATACAAGACCCGATGATAAGCTTTAAAAAAAAAGGTGAAAAAAAAAACAAAAAAAAAACAAGATATAGGATATAATTTTGGAACAGTTAGATCAATCAAAAAGTCCTTTAATTTCGAGGATTAAAAAAAAAAAAAAATTATTTGCCCTTACCTGAAATTTCTTATTGTATAATACGTGGATTGATATTAAGCAAACAACTCAATCTTAAAACCTGAATCTTCCTATTATCAAGTTCTCAAATCATGGGCAAAAGAGATAACTGTATCACCATTTCTATACAGAAAATATTATAAAATATGTTTTAGCATATAATTACCTTTTCAAATGTACATTTAGTTTTTAAAATCCATGATATGTCACATCAACCTCTTAAGCTGTTATGACCAGATGAGCTGTAAGTCCATGAAGAAATTTATAGACCTCCTACCTTCAAATTACCAAGAACCGTACAACTCTTATAGGAGATAAAAAGATAGTTTTTAAGGTATTAACTGGTGTAATATCAAACTTCACCATGATCTTACAGAAGGTGTGTTCTTACATGGAGAGAGAAAAAAAGGAAGAATTTTATGTGTGTTTTTTCAATGAAATACTATACTCTGCAAGGATGACTAAGTTGATATAATATTTAAGCATTTTAATAGCTGAACTTTTGGCATACCATGAATGCATTTTCTATGTTTAAAGGCTACAAATAAACAAATGAACAAAACAAAAAAGAATTGGAGTTTTAGAAATAATCATCCAGATTATCTGTATAGAGAGAGAGCAGGGTTTTAAAAAGAGCCTTGGGGCACATCATTGGATACTGGGATTATCAAAAATCTTTATCATTTATTTTATACCAAGTTGTGATAAAAACTCTATATTTTGGTTGTTATCTGTTTAGATGATGTTGAAGATCCAGTGATGTTTCCTGCAGAATTATTTCTGTCCTTGTCGCCACTATGCATGCATCTCCAGTAAATGCTATAACATTCCAGTTATTGTATTGCAACCAACTCGTTAGTCTGACACGGAAGAATTGATTGGGTAAATTAAATCACTTGCAGTGCCTTTGCATTGGCAACTATAAAAATCAGAGTAAATATACTCTAAAAATGTATAAATATACATAACAAAAAGTTCTACCAAAAATGTTGACACATTTCCAAAAAATAACAATCATTGTGATAACTGTTTGCTTAAGTTTAAACATCCACAACAGCAATCATGGTTTTCTAAACACTGGAGTTTGCATTTAATCTGGTAAGTTAAACTCAAATAAAACTAAAAGCTTTCAAAAGCTTATGTAATAATGTTCTTTAATCAGCATTTTTATTCTCTCATGTAATTTTGATCTCTAAAATAAATAGCAGAATCTGCAGTTTTTGTTTTTCAGTTTTTAAAACTGTTGTAATTTGTAAGTTCCAATAAAATGTAATCTTATTTTACTTCAAGCCCGGTTTTTATTGCCATGTAGATTCACTAATAAACCCCTCCCCCTCAAAAAAACAACAAAAAAAACCCTACTGTAAGCAAACAAAAGGTCATATGTAAAAAGCATGAAGAGACAAACAAAGGGGTGGGCCAAGATCCTTCTTCCTACACTCTTGTTCGAAACAGTGAAATTGATCATGTTTCTAAATTTTTGTTTTTAAAGCCTCCATTAAATATCACCAGAATACCAGCATGGGTACTAGTTGGCTGATTTTGTGGAGACTGGTGTGAACAAGCAAGCATATTTGCGGGTGCAACTGAAGTGCATACACTGTGGGAGTTTGTATGTCTCGAACTGTTGGTCTCCATCTTGCGTTTTTGTCTTTGCAGTTGCTACACTGAAACCATTTCGGTCCCCTGTAAAGCGCCACAATAGACCCAGGAAGAGCATCTGGCACTTTGAGATCGTAAAAGAACCCCATCTTCCTGCTTCGATCTGCCAATCTATCCCCCATCCACCATAATACCGTTTTCACGTTTCATTCTCCCTTGACGCCACGATAGACTGCGCAATCACAAAAGCCCAATTAGCCAAGAGAGCAACGTCGACTTCGCTTAGGGAGCTGACAGCCAATGGCATTAGGCAGCGTACAGCAAGGGCCTATGAGGAAGCGAGTGCAGGTGGGTGGGACACGGTGACACAGTGACATGGATGGAGAACGATCTGTTTGTTTCTGGTCATTTGTGTCACCCAAAGTTTTGATTGATGATAGCTGGGATGTTTTTCCCACTCTCCTTTGAGATTCCCACCTCTCCGGAGGGGGTTTCTTGGACCTTACATTTGGCCCTTAGCCCTGCCCCACATGCACACATCTTACACAGACTTTTTGTCCTTTCTGGGGGCCCCAGATGGCTCCTGCCCACACATCTGTATTGAACAAGGGGTTCTAAATATAGGCTGTTATTTAAACTTGCATATGCATTGCATTAACATTTGTGTCAGTTTTCTTTGTGTATGATGCAGGTGAGGAGGGTGGATAGGACAGCAAAAAATTCCACTAAAGTAAAGACAAAAGTACCCAATTGTAAATTTGTGCGTTTGAGGGAGAGTGTAAAGAGAAAAGCCCGAGGGACGGTAGGTGTGTGGGCGTCTGAGAGAGAAGAACAATAGAAGCAAGGAAAGAGAGATGAGGAGCAGTGCATTGCCAGTGAGGATTTGATTGGGTGGGTGGTTAGTGGTGGTGTGGAGTGGGGAGGTGGAAAAAAAAAAGATCTTCCCTCAAAGGCTCAGCGAGATATTCCTGGAGCGAGAGATGGTTTCATTTGGCTTGCAGTCCTAAACACAGAGCTTAAATCGTTTCATATTCATACAACCAGACTGGTGTTCTCCTGGATGTATTAGAGATAATAGAATTTCTAAATCTGCACTTTGGAAGTTTGTGCATTCAGACTCCACAGTCGACAAAGCGTCATTAGCATGTCAGAGGCGTTCTGTTGGGTACCCGGTTCCCTCCATGGCAGCTGCTGTCTGGCAAATTACTCAGTTCATGTGTGCGTTGGATTGAACGTGCATCCGTGTTCAGAATGCTCAAAAGAAGAGACATCAAAAACACCCCACCACAGCAAGTGTGTGTGCGCCTGTACATGTCTGAGCTTTGATGACTAGAGAAATCTCCATCAGTACCTTGCTTTGGAAGTGTACAGTATTTGTG